CAGATAGACGCCTCTTTTTTCCCTACGATTAAGTAAAAACAAAAGTTGTTCAATACTTCCTAAATTTTTACTAATGTAAGCCTGCTTATTGCTCTATTCATATATGACATGTGGTAATAACCACATCAATCCTCTTGTTTTAATGAAATTAAATTTATAGCAATCATAATTTGATAATATCTCAGCTCATACCAACTCTTGTAGCTATAAATCACTGTTCAAGAAATATTAGAGGTTTTTGACAAATGCAAATATCGAAGGATATTAAGTCAAAATAAAACATCCACTTTGACATGAATGAGACCATATCCATATTTTTCCCATCGTCATTAATTCACATCTGTCATTAAAACTATTGCTTAGATGTATTCTCGGATGACTCGAGATGACAGATTTTCTGGATGGCTTGAAATAATAGTATATGAAATGTAATTACTGAATTAATGATACATATCTCAGGCTGAACTAAGGATAATAAATCTCCACACTGTGATATGCTGCCTTCATGATTTGGCTGCTATTAACAGTCAAACTAGGTGTGACAAGTATGATTTTGCAGTGATGCCCAAAAAACTCTATTTTCATATTATGCTTATTCACTTGCGCTCCCCACATGACCTGAAAGGCTATATTAATCAATCATTGTGACCAGACGCATATTTGACCACATCAGATATTCAATTTGATAGCAAAGAAGTCGTAAATGATGTTTCTAACGACTACCATCTGAGAAGTACCCACAATATTTCCATTATCTCCTCCTTTTCCCAATGCGACAAATTCGGTTCACAAAATTTAATAAGCAACCGTGTCGCAGAATCCATCAAGCGTATCTCTATTTAGAAAGAATTTGCAAGAATATCGAATTAATTAATAAATGATAGGCGGAATTTTGGTAGCTAAAAGTTAAACTCATCTCACACAGCAAGTCGAATATATTAAAAAAGGATGGAGGAACTCTGGCTGTCACATATATTCCATAGTAGAGGAAATATGCTGCACAGTGGATTAATTAGCGATGTAGTTTAGTTGAAAGTTAATTATTAATTATCAACTAATTACTTATCTATTTTATTTTTCTCTTCTTTTCGGTCATGTATTTTTTCTTTCATAACATTACTTTGTATACACCAAGAAAAAAGGAAAGAGGAAAATGAGTGGTAATTGATAAAGTTGTCAAACAGAAAATACAGTAATACTTTGTGGCATCACTACATCTATATTTTATATAAATGAGTAATAAATGACAAAGGATGGAATTGCCGCATATCAATTTTTTAATCAAAAAACAAAAAAATTAACATACTTAATTAGATGATATGAGGAGGAGGGAGAGGAGAGAAAGGAAAAGATAGGTGAAATAACTAAGCGAATCTACTGAAAAAAGAGCTAAAAAATAAAAAACAAAGAGAGAATAATTAATTACTGTACTATACAAAGTGATGATCATTTGTAATTAAAGTGTAAAGAAAAATAATTTGATGGTGACATTTTGCAAAAAATTTTAAAACAAAAGATTGTAATAATTGCACTTAATTGTTAGTTTTTCTTTGTCCACCATTAAACATTTAGAAATACGCGCTGTTTTAATTCAACTATTTTTCTCTCCCTTGTCTTGAATACCAACGAATACTAAAATTAAAATATTAATCATTTAATTAATTTCATATTAGATTATCCCATTTCCTACATAATTTATAAAATATTTTCAATTATTTTTCTCTTTCTGTTTACGTGCAAATATCACAAAAATTAATGGACAGAAAAATAAGATTAATATTCTTCAAGCTGACAATGACAACGAAAAGTAATTTTGTACATATTTAACATATTAACAAATTTCTCTTTTCTGTATGTATGACGAGTGAATTTTTAAGGAAAAATTAGGAAAACGAAAAAAGGTAATAAATTAAGGCAACAAAAGAGAAAATAAGTACATGTATGTAAATTTTTTACTTTTAAAAAAAACGAGTAAAAACAAAAAAGACACACACACACACACACACACACACANACACACACACACACACACACACACACATACATACACATAGACAACTGACTGAATGATTAATTAAAGTTAGATGATGAATAATTAATGAGAACTAAGTATCAGGCGTACTTAACTAAAATCTGGATAATCTTGCTAATGTGCATCGTAATAATAGTAATAATAATGATGATAACAGTAGTAATAATATATCAGGAAAAAGTGAACCAATAAAAGAAAAAAATGATAATAATGAAAGAACAAATACATCGGACCAAAAATAATGATAACCGGAAAAAGCAAATTGGTATGCAAAATAAAACTGACGCGAAGTTTTTTAAATTTCAAATGATATGGGTATAAAGTGAAACAAAACGCAACCATTTTACACACTATTCAAAATCAAATCCTTATGAGCATTAAATGCGAAAAAATAACTGTTATGGAAGTAATTTATTTGCGAGAATTTTTGATGAAATGAGGATAAAGAGAAAAAACAAACAAATAAATAAGCCCCATTAGTATTATGCAATACTGGAGAAGAGGGACAGAGGGAGAGAGAAGAGATGAAGAGAAAAAAGAAAAGGCCAAGCAGTTTATGAATGAATATTTACGAATTTTTACGTGAGGTCCGTCGAGGAAAACCTGAAATCTGGCATTATCCACCTGAAAATGTAAATGAAATTCCCAATCGATATTTTGGAAAAATAAAAAGCAGCAATTAGTTTTTTTTTAAGATATGGAGAGAGATGAAGTCACTACCTAAAAAAAACTTTCATGTTTCCATTTGGAATCCATTCATCTGCAACGGATGTCATAAACACGGGAAGGAAAAAAACACTGATAAAAACGGAGGGATGAATATGCTATCCAAAATGCATGGGAAAAAAATATTTCCAAATTCCATATTTTTTCCATTTTCTTCTACATTTTAATTTCATGTCATAAAGGAAAATACCAGTCTCTTTGAAGCTGCAACTTATCTGTCTCATTTCTTGACTGACAAATCATCCATTATCTTAAATATTAGCAAATGTTTCAAACCTTCCTTCTAATCAAAGAAAATTTCACACTAATGTTAATTCAATTAGCAAAATTCTGCAACATAAAAACGCTGCTGTGAATTTTATAGCATACAATATAAATGATTCGGTCAGTTCGGCGTTCATATATAACAAATTGAAAAATGAATAAATTATGAAAGCACTCTTCTGATGTTTTTACCATTATTATTATTACTTCTTTATCATTGTTGTTGATATTGCTGCTGCTATTGTTGTTGTTGTTATTCTTAGCACTAAGGTATTTGAAAAAAAAAATCAAAAACTAAACGAAAGAAGTAAGAAAATGAAGGAGAAAGATGAGACATATTTCATGAGGAAAAAATATGAATATTAAAATTTCGAGCTAAAATAATATCAAAAATTTAAATAAACAAAAGAAATATTAAGCACAAGACTGAGAGAGAGAGAGTGAGTTCTAAAATGGAAAAATATTCCTTCTTCTTTTTATAGTTCAAATGATAAGAATATTTTATTATCCGCTGTGCAAAAATCGATGATAAAAAGATTATTATTTTCCAGTTTTTCGTTTCTTTTTATTCTTTTAAACTAACAGAAGCCAATGATATTAAGCATCAAATTCTTCTGCTCCTCGAAGTATGGGAAAGGATTTTCAATATTTACCGTCGATTAAGATAAGCAATGTTAGAAACTAGATAGAGAGATAGTGATAATTCGTTAGAAATTTTGGACAGTAATAGCGAAAAAAAAGTTTCAAACTTGATAAAAAGAGTTTTTTCATCGAACAGAAGAAAAATTTTCTTGGCAACTTCTTTCAACCAATGATCTTTTATGTTTATGGAGCGGAAGAAGGAAGAGATGGAAGCTTATCCTGAATAGAGAGAGATGTTTGGTAATAAAAGAAACCGAAGAGTCTACCAAAGAAAGTTAAATCTAGGATGACAAAAAAGGGACATTAATTTAGCGGTGATTCGCAACTTTCTTTCAACTGTTTAGCTCCTTGAGAAAAAAAATGGAAAATGGCTATTTCTTGCAAAATTATAGTTATCTCAGTAAAAAAAAAATTTGTTAGAAATAAAATATTTACAAGTGAGTTTTTTTAAAAAAAACTTTTTTAAAAAAAAGGAGGCTTACAAATTATGAAGGCACAATGATCAATGAAAGGTAATAATAATAATAATATGGATTTACATTGGGAGCTTCACTGAGTTCAGGTAGATGAATGGGGACATAAAAAAACAAAACCAACTACTAATACTACTAATTACTAACGTAAATACAAGCATATACATATACACACACACATACATACACATACATACATACATACACAAACACACTCACACACATACACATATACAATGCATATCTCATTGATGAAAATGTTGTCCGTATATCATACACTAATCAAATTTTTATAAAACTTCAAACTTTGAAGAAAAACCAAAAACTGCAACTATACATTCTAAGGCTACTAATGCGAGAAGAGTGTAATGATGAACGATGAATGATAATGTGTGGAAAAAAAGGAAAAAAGAAAGAGAGAAAAGAGAAAAAAGAAAAAGATAAGAATTATACAGAAGGATTCATTATATCTTTTATTTTATTTCGTTTTTTTTTGTATTTTTTGGTAAAAATAAAATTTAGGAGAAATATTCTACAAAGTAGCAAACTAATAAGAAAATATAAAAGATACAGAAAAAGAGATTTCGATTTCTCGAGAATTTCATTTGCTTTTACTTATGACAATTGGGATGTCGCACACAGCAATATAAACTGTTATTAATTCTGGTCTACCTCTATTGCAAATTGGCAAATTCTCGATAATCAAAGAAACCGATAGATCGGATCTGACAAAATCAAAAGGAAGAGAAGAAAACGGAAAGAAAAAGAACAAGGAAACATCAATGGAAGAAAAAACAAGAAAACAAAGAAAAGGGACTCCTGCTGTGTCATGATTATTCACCACATTATTCAAAGCATTCATTTCAGGAGGCTGACGATGGATTGCTGAGCCGAGCAAAAACCGGCAAACGTCCGGAAGGTGCGCAGGTCACGGCGCTTCCACTCACTGTCTTCGTAATAATTGCTTTCTTCTTCTTCTCATCAATTGTCAGCTCAAGCAAATCGTTGAAGAGTGCCGAATCGAGTAATGGTTGTGCAATGAGTGGTGTTGTTCGAGCGGTCGTCGCTATGGCTGATGTGGATGGCCAGTTTAAATGATATACCTGGACAAGAAGGGAATTTAATTTTTATAAATTAAATTTCTATGGTCAGATAATTACTTATAGTTTCGAAAATCAAATTTAACTGTTATTGATCAACTTGTTATGTACCTATTAATTTCATTTCATCTAATAATGCACTAAATAATGAATGAACTTACAACCTCTCATGCTACCTTCTCAAAACTGCTCTTAAATATCATCTTCTTTGTGCTTTTTGATAATGTGTGATTTGAAGTAACTTACACAGCATAAAATTTGTATAATTCCTGAATTTTCATTTTCAAAATTAAAATTATAACTTCGTAACAAATATTTACTAATGAGCAATTTCATTGCTATAATCATTGAATACAATATTTTGTTCGAGATCCTAGACTTATTTAGTAATCAGCTCTACGCATTGTAGTTCAGTGAAAATCCGAGAATAAATTGGAAGAGCATCTACCACTATAATCAAAAAGTAAGGTCAAAATAAACCAAACCCTTAACTGAACCATAAAACTTGCATTATTGCTGAATTTGGCACCAAATACGCCCCAACCGTTGGTGGCACCAACAGAGCCCGTATTTTCATCGAAATCCAAACTTGCACTACCAGAACCAATAGAACTATCACTACTGGAACCAGCAGAACTGGGAGCTGGAGAATCGCCCGTTGAATTACAATGTGGTTGCCAAATACCAAACGTTAACGTTGTGGTAGCTGCTGTTGTAGCGGTTATTATTGTTGCTGTACCGTTGATGTCACCACTACTGTTACTGCTATTCATCTTACTGTTTCCATTGCTTTGAACAGATATTTCAATGAATATCATGGTGTAATTTCAACAAATTAATTTAACAAGATTTCAAATGTTAAAAATCAAATCTGAAGGTTCTTACGTGTTGTTTTCTCTTATAATATTTGCCTACCTATTAATTACAATTTACTTAATGTCTATATAACTAGCCCTCAGTTCTTGGGGGTTCTATTCACTACTTAGAATGAACTTCATTCATTTAAACCTGCACTTATCATCTGATAATTACCACTCTGCATTGCGCTTATTATCTGACAACTTCCGAATGGACAAAATGAAGAAATTCAACTTACCAATTAGCTTGGTTACGACGAGTTTGCAACGAAGGATGTGGCTGTTCTTCGTTATGGATGAAATTGCATCTCGGTCCATATGGACAATAGCCAACCTGGTGAAAAGGTTGACAGAATTCGGTTTTATATTTAGGATGTCTAGAAACTGGCCTTCTTTCCGCTTCACCATGTGCATACTGACATCTACAATAACCAGTAAGTAAAACTTACTAAAAATTCGTTGCAAAGATTTGAATTTCAAATACAAATGAACTGATTATTCTACTTGAATTTTATTTGAAACATTTTGCAATTTATATCCATATACAAACCAATATATCGCAACAAATCAAAAGTAAACTTCAACTTCATCAAATAAGCAATTTGATGATGCAGGATTGATAACTGCTCTATTTCCATCAATAGTATGTTTTTATTATATCCAAAGATATTATTAAGCAAATATTATTACTGGCAAAATTTTATTTCCAATCATAGAAAACATAGCGCCCAAAATATTTTTGATAGAAATTGAGGATCGGCAAAAAAGAAATACGCAAGCGAAACAGCCTTTAACAAGTCTTTACCCTCATCATCGGGAATATCTTTCCCCTTCCTACCCCTCCTTCA